CGGCGCACGCCCAGTGCCGACGTGGCGCCCGCCGCGCTGGCGCCCGTCCCGGTGAGCGGTGCCCGCGCGCGGGGGGACACGCCGGGGCACCCGCCTCGAGGCTGCGGCTTGATGGGCCGTCCTGGAGCCCTGTGTCCCCTGTCCTGCCAGCCCTGTGATCACTGTCCCCCTGCCCCGTGTCCCCCTGCCCCACCATCCCTGTGCTCATTGTCCCCTGCTCCATGGCACTGTGTCCTGCCAACCCCAGGGCCCATCACCCTATGTCCCATGCCGTGTCACCCCTGTGCTGTCCCTGTGCCTCTTGTCCCCATGTCCTGCCACCCTTGTTCTTGCTGGCCCCATGCTTGATGTTCCAGCCCTCAAGTCCCCAAGCCCCACAGCTCCATGTCCCGCCACCCCCATGCTCCATTGCCCCATGCCCCATGTCCTGCCACCCCCATGTCCCATTCCCCCGTGCCCCATGTCCCGCCACTCCCACGTCCCATTGCCCTGTATCCCAGTCCCCATGCCCCATGTCCCGCCATCCCTGTGCTCGCCATCCCCAAGCCCTGTTTCCCCCGGCCCTGCTCTCCTTGTCCCCGCCATCCGGGTGCCCCACGTCCCCGGACGCCCCCGAGCCGCCTCCCGTGGGCGCAGGGGAAGGCGTCGGGGCGCGCGGAGGACGACGGGGGGCCGCAGCAGCGCAAGGCGGCTCCGGCCGCCCGCACCAAGCAGGAGCCCGGCCGCAAGGACCGGCACCGCTGAGGCCCAATAAAGCCCGGGGACGCGGTCCCCTCCGCGCACCGTGTCCCGTGTCCCATAGGGGCGGGGCATCCGCACTGACCACGCCCATGTGGGCGGAATTATCGGATATGACCACGCCCCTATCCATGATGGGCGGGGCTTCCGCGCTTGACCGACGGGTAACTTTCCACCCCTGCCCACGTGGTGCGGCCGGGTCCCGCCCCCTAAGCCCCGCCCCTGACGGCGGGTTGGCCGGCGCTTTGCCTTCGGCCCCGCCCCCGGTGCGGTGATTGGCGGAGGCGGCGCGGCGGGCACGCCCCCTCCCCGGTGCTCGGGCTGCCGCGGTGCCCGGCGCGGCGGTGCCGG